GCACATTGTTGTCTTAAGATATTATTTTTTTCAAAATATCTTTATATTCACGTTCATATATTCATATAATCAGTAAGAATTCAATGAAACAGCATTTTTAAAATACGATACTAATATTTAAATTACTAAACAGTCTCGTAAATATGTCTTCTTAGAGGATTAGTATAAGGGAAAAAAGTTATGTTGAAACAATTCCTCGTTTAAAAGAGTCGCTTAAATAAGAAACAAATTGTTTATACATTTTAAAAATGTAATAACGTTTTGTTTTGCAGAATTTATTTGTGACCAGTATGGGAAAAGGCATAAACCACATTGCGACGTAAGGAAGCACATGGCAGGACATCTTGGCACGACAAAGCTGGAGCAAATATTTTAGATACCAACTGTGGATATATCTCATTGAGGAGGAATACTCAAGAAAACACAAGAATAATAGTTCTTTGAAGTAATTGTCTTTTGTTCAGTTTTTTGCGTTAATTTTTGGACAATGTGTCATAAAGGATCAATTCATCTGAAATTTCACTGGAGGATAGTTTTCAATAAAGTAAAATACCGCAAACAAGAATGACAACTCTCCAGTTTTGGAGTTATTGCTCTTTGTATTCACTGTCATTAGTTTGCAAGGACCATACCTCTAAAGGTATTTGAGATATAAACTTAAAACTTTATATTGAACATGTTTAATAGAAGATAAGGACCAGAAGTGTTCACGTAATGCTTCTTTGTTGTTTTTCTTTGTTTTTTTCATGGAAGTGTTATTTTTGTCATGATTTATTATGTCTAGGCTATAACTTTTCATTAATTTTCACGAGTATCATTACTTGGAATTTTTTCACGTATGTAAGGGTTACTTCCCCTTTGAAATGTACTTCCTCCTTATGGCTGGGGATTTTGCTGTCTGTGATTCCTTCTTGTATTATTGTTTTTATTTTAACGTCATTCAAATATCCTGAAATCATTTTTCTATGATTTTATTCATAAATATAATGCTCAAATGAAGATTTATCAATATTGTATGTTCCGAAAAGCATTATTTGTAAAGATAATACCGAATTTACATTTCTTAAAGGGAGGTAATTAGAAATATATTTTCTATTAAGTGTAAGTTGAATCTTTCAAAAAGAAATGAATGCATTATGCATACATATATATTTTAATGATTACATATAATGTGGACAAGCATTTGCAGTACGTATTTTACATATTCCTTTATCTTTGATAATTGTTTTAGTACCATAAATATTAATGCATTTAATTTATAGACAATTTCAATTGGTAACAGCCTGAAATATACCTTACATGATCTTTAATTACCAAAATATGGTAAAGACTGTGATAAAGAAATAACTATGATCTTTGTTTTCTTATTTTTTTTATTTAGGTAAAAATACGTACACATGCTAACTTTCATACTTAAAATTGTCAAAGTTGTTAATAATTATGACGCCGTAGTATGGCAGTACATTGACTTTTAAACCAGTTCATGACAAAAATGATTTACATGTTGTTCTTTAATAAACTATTCAAATCAACCGATAGATATTGACTTCTTTATGTTCATAAACGTACCATTATGCTGTTTTAAAACCTAAATCACAAGTTTAACAAACACGCAAACCATTGGGTTTTAAATTATTAACAAGGTATTAAAGTCAGCAATTATTGAATAAATGCTGGCCTCTAATATGTGCACGAGTCCAACAGAATCTTAATCCGGTATGGTACTAAACAATGTACATTTTTGTATCATGACTTCTTTGTAAAACACCACAATTTTTTAACATCTAAACAAAACTTTATTCTTGAGATCCAAACTGCCCATTTAAAGTCTAATAGTCCTAGCTTGTTGTTGGCAATAGCTTTGAATTATCCCTTCGGATGCAACCCAAGCCAAGTGCACCTTTTTGTATAGTGATCCTGTCAGTTGAAACTTTGCCATGGCACCTTGTTCCTGCCCAACGACGTCATTCTACAGAATCAAAGAAGTGATCTCTGTAAAAAGAATGAAAAGTTAATGTTGCCAAACACAGTAGTTATTTACAAAATGGTGTTAAAATTGTGAGAATAATCCATAAAAGCTAACACAGCAATGTGCTTTCAAAATGTATAAATTTGGGTCCGAGTGGGAGCATCTCTGAAATCGAGTCCGAGTGGGAGCATTTTCCATTTTCATAAAAAAACCTTTAAAAGACTGACTTTTGAATAGAAATATTTTAAACTAATAAAGAATAATGGGTATACATGACTCGGTTTATGTTCCGATACGTTAAAAATAATTTAAAAGAAGGTTTTCAACCTTATTTCATATATGTTTCGGGAGAAGTCCGAGTGGGAGCATTCAGAGAAAAACACTTATCCCGTTTTCAGGTCTAAACCAGGTAATAAATCTATAAACTTTTTTTACAATTATCTCAAGTACTAAAGCCATTCTTTGGTGCGCTACATGCTTTTTTAATACTCTTACGTTTTCTTATAATAAAATTGTATTTTACCTTCGAGTCGACGAAAAAATGGTCCAAGTGGGAGCATTTAGCAGGTGCGCGATGACGTAGTATCCTACCATTGTATGTATTGTATGGCGATTTTTCTTACAGAATGAAACTTCAAGGTTAGTTAATGTATATTATAAATCTGTATATTGGTTCATGTAGAATATTTTTTATTCTTTGTAAATAGAGAATGATACTGATTTCAATAAAATACATATTTGAGTAAAAAAGGAATAAAATTGTTGTTGATTTTTCACATATCTTCTAACATTATTTTTGGACGAGTTTGATGCCGTGAAAATTGACATCATATCATCACAGAATCGGATTCGGTTCAAACAACAATTTAATGATCACATATGTGTGGTGTCCGGTTGTTCACTGTGGTGACATGTTTTGATAATAGAGATACTAGATATGCTAGTATCAAGAGACAGATGTGAACACTGTTGTATTGCGACAACACGCCGCACGACAACGCGCCGTTTGGCGTGCATCGTTAGCGATAGGACAAGACGAATGTCCGACAACGCTCCATTTGGCGCTTTGTCGTTCTTTTACTAGCGACAACACGACGCACGGAAGCGTTCCACCCAACTTTCATCTAAACTCAGAAGCTGAAGACTAGGTCGCAAAACGAGCTTTATGTGAACTGAAATATTTTGTAACATATTATGCTTTTAAAAGTTTTGGAAAAGTCCCGAAATGGGACAGTTATTGAGCGCAAACTCTGATTTCTTTTTCAGGCTTTTACTTTTCCATAGATAACTTCTCAGCAGTACATTATTGAGCTTTATTGTCTTAAAATTTTCATTTAAAGATCTTCGTTTTCAACCAGTATTTCATGATTACATGTACCTCACATATCTATAGTAGATTTATAGCTTTTTATTGCTACTCAAAATAGTAAAAAAAAACAACATCAAGACGCAAGAGATAAATCACATGCATTTACATCTTTTTTAACAAATTGAAGCAAAATAAGTAATTTATAGTGTTAAATGAATTGACGACCCAGCGAGTGATAATCTAAGGGGAGTAACTACGTATGACCGAAGACTTAAATGGGAAATAGAATTATCTCCCTGAAGAAGTTTGGCAGATTTAGTTACGATATAATTCATCATAGAGCGTGTTTTTTTATATGCATTGACACAGAATAACTGAATGCCATTAAACAAGAGAATATAATTATGCCATACAGAACTCCGGACGATAAAATTATGCCATGTGTCCTTATCTGTATTTTTTTAAAGAACAGGACATACATGTAGTCATCATAGACACCGGATCAATAACAGGCACTCAATATCATTGCGAGAACTATCATGTAAGGTTACAGGGAATCCGTTCCCAATCTTTATGGTCAAAATATATGTACGGAACAGAACTCACCACATGTATATTCACAGTCTCATATGCTTTAATTCCCCTTTATGTGAGACAGGATTAATGAAGCAAGATTTCAAATTTGTAATTTAGTAAAAAAAGCTAGGATATGCCTTTCGGCGTTCTTGCTATCGTTTACTTAGAAAGGCTTTAATCATTATCAGCATGAATGGAGCTACGAGCTACATGAACATGCATACTCGCCCCCCGGACAACTCCACCCCCATCTAGAGTATAACTAGTTTACAAATATATGAGAAAATCAAATGAGGAAATATAATAACACTAATAATTGTACAGTAACATCATGCGTAGCTCTTTGGATATTTATTACAATAACCTCTAACCATTGTTGAAATATGTTATATTAGACAACCCGGAAACAGTTTAGACGTACGTTATTATAGGGTATCTGCTTTATATGTAAAAAAATGCACATATATGAAAAATTGTGTGTTCTATTCCCTCATAACGTTGAAATCGTTTGTTTTAGCAAAATATGGAATATTCATAAAATACATTAAAACCTACAAAATTGGTAGATCTAGTGAATTATATTTGAACACGCAAAAACTATTGACTATTCGTCTTTTAAAGGTCCAACTATTTGTCCCAAATGACAGTTAAGGCGTGATCCTACAACAGAACGACGGTGGCATTCTGTTTCCAAGCAAGTACAAGTACCTTTATTTTAATTAAACCTTTAATGTATACATTTGAATTCCAACTTTATCATTGCATTATGTTTTCTAGGCTAATCATAGTTGAATAATTGAGGATCAACAAAAAAGATAAATAATAATAAAAAAAAATAAATAATAAGACATGTACAAATATTCTGCCTCTATGTGAGACCAGCTACCAATCTATGCAACAGTGACGTCTGATTCAAATGAGTTCCCAGCAGGATTTGTTTAGTTTTTATAATTTCAGACCATAGCTTTATAATTACCTCAATTCCTTACATTCTAAAAAGAACCAGCAAGTTTTTTCCTTTGTTACTTAAAGCTTCATGAATTGTAAAATTCAAATGCTTCTCTGAATTATACACAAATAAATTAGATAAATAAGACAGAAATTTGAGATACATTGTTTATTTTTTATTGGCATAAAATGATATCAAACGGACTCACACAAAGTTTAAAAAAAACAGTAACAGATACATGTATATGAGGGCACAACATAGTCGATCTTAAATTAGTTCCTTGACTGAGGTCTTAAAGCCTAAATCCTTGTGTACATAAAAACAAACAAAAATTCTTGAATAGGTTAAGTGCGGCCTGGGACATAAAATAACTTTCTTTGTCTCACCTTCGACCACGGATTTATATCACGGATAAATCCGTGTAATATAAATCCGTGCTTCAACATATAAAAGGGTAAATCTGTAAAAAGATAATAAAGACATAAATTCAGAACTATATCAAAATTTAATTTTTGGTTCCAATCTTAACATAACTTGAGTGATAAATGTTAAAACCATTTTCATTTTTTGGTCATTTTGCACAATAGAAATAACAATTTATGACCAACAAGTGAGAGAAGGATCTGAAATTTTGCACAATTCATTGGTCCATGACAAAATTAAATGATGCACTCTCAAATCACATAAATTTATTTCTAGTCCCGTCTTGGCGAATAGCCTCAGTAAAGTCCATGTCATTACTGATGACTTTAAAGTCAGAAGCCACATTGAAGCACTACATGATTCCAGTGTTATCCAAATGTGACTTTTTATGTTTTAATATTTCCGTCATGGTGAGCTGTAGTTGTTTGTCACATTCAGCACAAAAGTAGGACTTTCTAAGTGGATTCATTTGCATATTACGCTCCTCCTCCTGATCCGCCTTATCTTCTGATTGAGTGGCTGCAAATATATTTATACATGTATTTCCCAGTATATAGTCATAAAGAATGAGATACAGTATACATTGTATATCTTTGATCAAGTAATATATAATTATAATCTATTTAAAAATGAAAGCTTAGAAGAAGACAATATACATGTATCGAATAAAATTCGTTTTTCAGCACTCATCTTCAGATTTGTGACAGTCAAAATGAAAGTAATGGATTATTTTCGTATGGAGTATTTTCATTGGTCATGTGAAAACCTTGACCAATGAAAATACTCCATACAAATATAAGGGGGGGGGGGACTTTGCCGCTTCCATTCGATTAGGAATTTGACGTATCGGAAAAACGGTTCGTTATAGTTTCATATGATGTTTGATTGGATACTTATTGCAAATAATAATATAATTTTATCATATTTTTATGTGCAATACAAAATTAAACATATTCATTCATTTCGAATAAAATGCCGTATCTAACAAAATTCATTTTAAAATGAAATGCATAGTTTGTACAGAAAAGATGCAGCACTTTTCTATTCAAGACTGTATAAGTACAATGTTTAGGGTGTATCTGACCGAGTGATTAATTGATTTTACACCTCTTTCCACTTCTAAATATTTCTACACTATAATTTATTTGACACATTCAGGAATACTCTACCTAGCTTATTGTTTGATTACCAAAAATATCTACATATTTTGAGTATAGCCCTGATAAAATGTTGCACAACAACTTTTTCTAATATAGGCTATTACAGAAACTATATTTGAAGGTCATGTGAATTTAATATAAAAGGCATATTTTACCTGTAATGTTACTGGCATGACACATTGCTTCATGTTCCAATCTCTCCCCAATACTGGCTACCATGGAAACATTACATCTAGGACACGTCCAGTGACGTTGCATGGTCATTGTGAACTCTCCAACAACACTCGCTGTGCCATCATCTAATAAACTGCAATTGTACGCATGTTTTGATTTCTCTCATAATAACCAAGATGTACTTGTTTAAATAGAGCTTCAGGGTTGATAGTAATCATATGTAAAAAAAAATCTTATACATGTAGTTCAGTTTATACTAATATATTTTAGTTTGATTGTGTTGGAATCTACAAGCTTATTGAAACACTCTAAAATCTGTTCCTGGAACCAACCAGTACTAAGCAATGAGGGTAAAGTGTCTTGTTCAAGGACACAATATGCGTTAACCACTCATCTCACGCTGACAATGAGGTCAGTTGAAATTTCTTCGCAACAATTTTTTTCAACCATTGAATCTCCTGGTCATTTGTCTCTCTCTGCCAAATTTAGAAATCATCTGGAATTATTAGATGATCACTTACAGGGAAACTGGTTAACTACTGGTTAGTTATCCATTAAAGCTGGTAAGGTTGATAAATAGCCGAAGTATGAACAAAAAATTGTTTAAATCAGCACAGAAACCAGAACAACAAATAAACAACAATGAAGACTTAAGGAATTGAGAAATATTGACTTTCATATAAACAACTGGAATGACAGTTTATATGCTAGAACACGTACTTTGTTTTATATATCAGTAATAATACACCTAATGTAAAGTCAGGTATTCAAATCTGAGTTACATAAAAGTATACTATAATTCATCTATATAAATATGTAAAATGTAATCATTATATACTATATATAATTACCAGCCATGTGTGAGATATTCATTGATTATAAGTCCACCTTTAGTTGGATGTGGCTTACTTTCAGAGGCTGAATTAAATACATCTTTTATTTCTCCACCTGTATGAAATACATGTAAAAAATTATTCATCATATAATGCTATTTTTTTCACAAAGACTTTCCAGAATGATAGGCTTCTGTGTACAAATGGAAAATATACATGTATATCAAACGTTTGCATACCCTATCAATATTATTGATAAACTTAACTGCCTCAACATATTTTGGGGATTATGGATGCAGTGCTTCTCATCCAATGATTGATTGGTTTGTGTTTCATTGGGTTCAACACATATAACCCTCATATGATGCCAGTACTGTTAAGTTCCAGAAAACTATTATAAGAGTAGTTCAAGTAACGGTAAACTCCTGTTTATGTATATCCTTATGTTTATATTCCTTTACTATGTCAAAGTGTTTTCAGGTTGTAAATATATATTACAGATGTACACATGTACAAAAAACATTGCAAGTAAAACTTAAACCAAAGTGTTATGCCCATCCCTGGGTCAGTAGGCTTGTTCCACTTTTCTTCAAATAGTTTAACCTAAAAACTGATATGTCTTATTTTATAAAATCAATAATTCCTACGTGTTCTTTCAGGTCCAATGTAGACATTTTTCATCTCAGCAGCCAGTACTCTCCGGAGTGTATACCTCACATCTGAACTGAGAAACTCTGTCAGTTTACTTGCCAACGTTCTCTCCAGTTTCCTTGCCCGCTGACTGATCCTTCGTTCAGACTCCATAGACAGAAATGTGTCTGAAATATCATCTTTTATACATATACAGTATCAAAACAAAATACAATGTATGCTTAAACTTTTTTAACTACATAAAGTCTCAGGTGTTTGAGTTACTCCTTTGCTGATACCAACAACAGGTACATATAAATATTGGTGTCTGACATGCCATGTTGATCTTGACCTTTGACCTAATGTTCTCAAAAACAATAATTATATGACTAATTCACCATGATGAACCTACACTTTTAATTTAAGGTTTTCTAGACCACTTCAATAGTAATTGGATTGGCAAGCTTTTAGTGGTCAAGAAAATGGTGACACTGACCTATTGACCTCATGATCAGTAGATGTCATCTAATGGCCATGGGTAATGTCCTCACTGAGTAACATCATCTAAAACTTTCACCCTCCCATGTTATTAATCAGAAAAGGAAGAGATGTTATACATATGTCATACAAATCCAATCACAGAATGCTTCAATATTTTAGTGGGAGCATAACAATCTTAATATGGAAACAATGTATACAATGAGTACTACATCATTTATAACATCAAATGTGGATGCCTTTCAAAGTCTACACAGAGGAAGTGTCTAACACACAACATCATTAAGCTTGTGTATTTCCCACAGATATAATATCAATAACATTTTGTTTGTTTTGAAAATGTACTGGTTATATGTGACTTTCAGGTATGTAATGATTAATACAATTTTATTGTTTTATACTCAATTAATAAACTGCATTTGATATTTGATTTTAACTCCTTAATTTGTTGATGAATGCAGGGTCTTTCAAATAGAATGGTCTGGAGACAGACCAATTTTACGAAAAATGCTGTCTCGGTTGAGTCACGTGATTGGGTTACCTACCAACGGTGATATGGCACAGCACATCACCATTCAAAAATCAAATTATAAGATAAAGTTTTGTTAAATCAATCAAAAAATTACAAAAAACTAACTCTGACTACATTATATTATCAGTTTTTACTTTAAAAGTAACAATTTTATAGATTTGCAATGAAATTAGAAATTTTTCATTCCCGGTGTCAAGGTAAAAATCTAATGCTCATATTTGAAAATGGTCCGAGTTTCATGAGCTTTTTCTAAATTTATGCATTGTTCAATGACAAAATAGAAATTGATTTTACAGAGAAAAGATGTTATTTAATCGTATCATGTAAAAATACTATAATATTTCACGATGTTATTTGCAAATATTTGATGTTTAATTTGGTGCATTTTCAAAATGGCGCCGATTATCGGCAAATATTCTGAACAAACAATCTATGTTTTTTAACAAAGATGGCTTTAAAAAACCTCATTTCCTGAAATATTTATCTTTTTTTCAAAAGTTTAAAGATTTTTAAATAACATCATGTCGTTAAAATTCTCATTTTTGCTCTTGTATTTAATATTCGCCCTTTTCTTGAACACTTACATAATGTGCGTATAGCAAACTATACCGATTTATACCGAGACATGTTTAATTGTAGCGAGCAGGGTTTACATAGCGTGTTTCCAGACCATTCTATTTGAAAGACCCTGATGAATGCAAAATAACTCAAAGATTCTCAGTACAGTAAGTGTATTATGTTTACCTTCAAGTCGTAGTTTGAGTAAGTTTTGCCAGGTGGCTCTCAGCTGTATCACACTAGACATTACTTGTTCTGCTGATTCCTCATCAGGTATAGTTACCTCTAACCACCCATCACATATTAACCTGTAAAACATTGTCATTTATAAATGTGAGTTTATAGCAACATTTGTGTTTTTTTTTCTTCAAGAAAACTTTAAAAAATGTTTTAATGAGTAAACAGGCAACTAATTGTACAAATTGATAAGTTTCATTCTAACTTAAGGCTATTATTGTCCACAAAAATTATTAACAAATAATCTTTCTATTAAGCTAAGTGGGCACACAAGGTAACATCACAGATGCTCCTGCAGTTTTCTGGGTATTTTTCATATGAAGTCCAAAGCCACTCTGGTTCAATTTAATCTCACATTTGATTGTTAGGACATGTACATAATTATAAATGTACTTGGAAGCTAGTCATCTTAGCTGTAAGTCAATAACTTGTTCTATCTCTCATTTAACTGTCAAATGTTTTATTTCATTGTCAAGTAAGAAGTATACCATTATATATTACCTTGACAATATATTTATGGTTTTTCACAAATCATGTGACAAAGTAAACAATAAACAACCAGTCCAGTGTTATATCATGTGAAAACAGAGTACCAGTCTGTAGACATTCTGTTATGTCATACCTTGTACAGTTAGTGTTTGTGTCAATGTTGTTAGAAAATAAAGTCACAGTCTGTAAGGCAGGCACCCTCATTGTGTTTATCAAAAATGGCTTGTTTGTTTCAAGAATAGATCTGAAATGATAAACATATTGCTATATCTTTATTTTCATTAAGATTAATGCTGTTATGAAAATTTTCTAAGAAAGAATAAAAAGCTGTTGGTAAGCTTCCTATGCAAATGTAAAGCAAGAGGTTTCAATTATAATTCATAAACAGGTCTATGATAATAATCTAAGACTTGAAATGATAATGAATTGAGTATTGACATAATTTTTTTCATTTTAAGTGATAGCTCATTTAATGTCAAATTGTTATAAATCAAAATTTGTGTCAAATATAAAATTTCAAACATACATAGTTACACACCCATGGGAAGTGTTTGACGAAGTATTTCCCACCCATGTTTAAGATCAGGAAATTATAACATATCTTTTACATTGTATTACTTACACAAAAGTTAAAAGTTCATGTTTATTGCTGAGAAGTCCTTTAAGATCTGCTGGATTATGTTTTCCTGACTCAGTGTCATGTTTGGGATGAAGTAACTCTGGTTTGTAAGAGAAAACACTGGTAGGGTGTAGCAATACAAATGGTTTACTCTGAAATATCAAAACAAATAAAGGATACATGTATATTGTATATTATAATGATTAAAGTACATCTGATTAGTTTGTAGTGTAAGAATATCAATCATTATATTTTATGATTTTTTTTTAATTAACCCTACTTAAGTTGTGTCATGAATTTGCCCACCTTTGTAATTGAAGGACTCCATTCTAAGGGATTACAGTCAATAAAAATTAGCTACCAACACTTTAGAGCTTGGCCAGATTTTACACATATTCAGGCTGGCCTTGGTCTATACTGTAAGGAAAGGCTAATAATCACTTTCAGTTCCAGTAAATGAAGGATTGAAAAGCAATTCATCCTGTAATTTTTGAAACACTGCATACATTAAAATTGTTAAAGTATAATTAATCAAGTAAAAACTTGAGTTTGACGCATTATATCTTACATAATGGGATAAACTGAGAACAAAATTGTTAATTTGTCTACAGAAATTCAGTTCAATAACCATTAATAGGTAAAACAGAATGTCACTGAAGTCTTCCCACCAGCACAAATATACAAAGAATTGCATGGTTAAAATTATTTTTTGTTTGATTTTAGGGTGCACAAACACAATTAAGGTCATATGGCGCCAAAACAGGAAAGATGATTTTGGCTAATCCTCAAGTGTTACAAACTTAAGGCAACATCTGGCGACAAAATTACCTCACTACAATTTGCATCAAAATTTCTCATTAAAATAGATGCATTAAAGAATAACTGAGCTGCGTCATGACAAAACCAACATAATGGGTTTGGGACCAGCATGGATCCAGACCAGCCTGCGCATCCGCACAGTCTTATCAGGATCCATGCTGTTCGCTTACAAATCCAATACAAGTAGAGAAACTGATAGCGAACAGTATGGATCCTGATCAAACTGCGCATATGCGCAGGCTGGTCTGGATCCATGCTGGTTGCAAATACATTATGTTGGTTTTGTCATGACATGGCTCATTTTAATAGACAATTAATGCATGTTGCTTCTCCTAATGGGATAAAAAAATTTACCCATGTATCATCAACATCCCTCTAGTGGTTCAAAAGTTTACAGTGAGGACAAATAATTGATTTCTCAAACATTTTTATGTTACACTGTGACCCTGATTTTGCTATATCTTACCTCTTGGGTCACCACAATGATATAAACACTTAAACCAAAGTATCGTATTTAATAATCTGCAAGGGTTTTCAAAGATTTAGAGTGCACTCAAATTAGCATACTGACGAAAAGTCTGTGCACAACAAACAGGTATTAATTTGGGAATTTCTTTTATAAATATTTTCCAAAATATCCATATTTTAATATCAATCAATACAGACTGATTGAACATTACTTACTCTTAGTCTATTGATCTTGTTCCTTTTCCTTTATCTTTATGATTGGACAACCACATGTGTAACATAACCGAACTAAGTATGTATAAAGATTATTTAAAGTTATTAAAATTTACTTTATAAATGAAGAAGTTACCTTTGTATGGAATGCTTGTTCGGAGGTAGATTTAAATGTGTTACAGTCATCAGCTATTGATACCTGAGGATATAGTCCACTACATAATATGATCTTTAATAGATTTATATCACGGAGTGTAAAACGTCGACTCTCATTTGATGTTTCCTGCAAAACATACAAATATAAAACTGATCATCTTTACATTTCTTACAGTTGGTAGGTAACCATTATCTGACATATAATTCCTATACTTTTAGGTCTCTTCATCTAAAAAAAAAACCTTCATTATCACTGCAGTTACCTATGCAACATGTGCAGACCATGATCAAAAGGCACCTTCCGAAAAACACATTTTGAAAAATTCCCTAAAAATGATGAGTTGTTTTTAATCAGATTGAAAGATGGATCCACATTAGAATATTTAGCGTGATATGGGTATAATACCCAGTTTCTTACATTTATACACATATCAAAGACAATTTAGGTATATTTCAGTAATTTTTTTTAGCTTTTTTTAGTATTTTCCAGCAATTCCTTACACCCTTAAAACATTAGTAGGTAGTCCAAGTGTTAGACTAATGAATCCATTCCTCTTTATGGTAAGAAATAGGGGTTGTACATAGAAACTGTTTTAACTAACCTGAAGCTGTTGCAAATTATGAGAGAGTCGGAACTCAAGATCTTTGATGTCCGAGTCTTTTTCATCCTCTCCATCACTGATCTGATAATCCTGAAATTTAGATAAAATTAAACCTGGAAAAAAATCAAATTTTGTTATAATACCTACATTACATTTGAGTTGATCTTATATCAGCTATAAGAGTCTGATTTTTGTTTTGGATTAAGTGTGGAAATTTTTCAAGTACAAAAGTTGTATTCCACTTCACAATAACTTAACAAGTCTTTCTGAAAAGAAATAGTAGTGTGTCATACATGTATATCACTTTACACTTATTTTAATATTTTTCATGAAATTTTACTTATTATACACAACCAAGAAAAACATGCTTAACTGAATTTGAATAAAAATTAATAAAAACAAGCAATTATCATAGTATTGCAAGCAATCCATAAGTCCCCTACCGGTTAGAACCTCATCAACATTCTGAAGGGCCATTGGCCATTCACTAATGTTTCAATTTTTTTATCTATTTTTAGTAAATTTGTTGGAAAAGTTCTTTAAAAGTGATCACAGGAAACAGTTTTTATGAACAGACATACAGACGGACTGAAGGACACTCTAAAGTTAATATTTGAAACATCCCTGTTACCAAAATATAACATTTTAAAAGCAAAATTCTTAAAGAGGAGATAACTCTTGAATTAAAGATGCAATTTCATAAACATTTTCAGCTCCTTTTGACTTATCACAAATATTGTTATATTTGCCATGTTTTAAGCCTATTTGTTGCCAAGGCAACAGATATTTTTTCAAAATAGGAAGAACAGATAAGACATGCATAATCTCAAGACTGCTATCTACCCATACATGTATGTCAAGTTTCATAAAAATATTTCCAGTACCTTTTGAGTTATCACTGGATTCAGTTTATGTTTAAATTTGCCATATTTTCAGTCTATGTGTTGCCATAGCAACCAGAATTTTCAACATAGGAAGAAAAGAAAAAGACGTGCATAATCTCAAGACTGCCATCTACCCATATGTCAAGTTTCATAAAAATATTTCCAGTACTTTTAGGGTTATCACTGGATCCAGTTTATGTGTAAAATTTGCCATATTTTCAGCCTATTTGTTGCCATAGCAACCAGAATTTTCAACATAGGAAGAAAATAAAAAGACGTGCATAATCTCAAGACTGCCATCTATCCATATACCAAGTTTCATAAAAATATTTTCAGTACTTTTCAAGTTATTGCGGGATCCAGTTTTGTGGACGGACGGACTGACAGACTGACAGACGGACGGACGGACAGACGGACAGAGGGTAAACCTAAAGTCCCCTCCGGTAAACCGGTAGGGGACTAATAAAAACTTGAATGTTCAAAGATTTATCCCTTATGAGCTAATCATGTCTGCACACCTCATAAATGTCACAAGTTTAATAGAAAGAATAAGTTATGAAGATTTAATGAATTTGACAAAATATACCTCGTCATCCATCTTAAGGACTTTTCGTTTCTTTGATTCTTTTCTCTGTTCTCTTCTTAACTCACTAAGACGTTTTCTCTCGCCATGTTTCTGCCGACGTTCAGCACTACTCATATACTGCTGTTGTTCCTCGACTTTCTCAAGTAAACCATGATCCTGTAACAAGTTATCATGACAATGAGAATTTATTTGAATTTATTTATTCTTATTGGCCACCGGCCCATAACAACTATATGAGCCACGCGCTGGTCTGGTTCCATGTTTGTCGCAAACCCATTATGTTGGTTTTGTCGTGACGCGGCTCATATATACATTATGATATAATTTCTTGACTTGATGTAGAGTATATTTAATTGAAGGCAAAAAGCCCTCAATCGATATCACAATGATTATGAAACATCTTTGATAATATAGTTTTGAATTATTATTCTCTAGTTTTACTGACCAAATAATACCTTTTCAACTCATAATAAAAAATATCATAACTTATAAACTCACAAACCAAAAAAACATTGCTATAAGGCATTAATCAATAAATACAAAACTGCCAAAATTAATTATCAATTAATTTTTATCTATCTCAAACTAAATATCAAGTTTGATTACAATATCACATTCCTAACTATAATCATTGACCAGAAACAAATTTTCCTAATTTTTTTAGCAACAGTGACGCACCTTCACACTGTTCCAAGAGGCCCAAAAAGCAATCTCAATCTTAGTCTCCACATAAGCTCGCTCAATTACATGTTTGCTTACAATATCTCATTCTAAACTCTAGTTATTATCTGGAAACCATCTATCTTAACTTTTAGTAGCAGTGACCTTGACTCAAGGGGAGCCAAAATGCAATCCCAATAGAGGTTTTTATATAGGTTTGCTAATAATATCAAGTTTTAAAACAACATTCTAATCTTTACTCTCATTATCATCCGAAAACCAAAACCACTCAAAACTTTGTGGTGGCATTACAACTTTTTAAAACAATTTTGCCTACAAAGCATATGAGTATATAATGTACTCAAATAGCTTGAATAAAGCGTATGAATATAAAAAAAAACTTCAACAGCTTGAACCATTGAATAACTATGGGTTTTTTTTCTTACAGAAAATTTCTGACAACATAGTACCTGTAGTAATTCTTTAAACTGTCTCTTCAGTTTAGTCATTTCATAAAATCTTTGCTCTTCCAAACCTCGCCTCTTACACCATTTCTTTGTCCCTCGACCATCAGCTTTTACCTATAATAAACATGCATATAAGAAACGTTACAGTTATGCAATTACAGTCATTTCTATAAAATTATTCCCACTTATCTTTTTCTATAAATTTACTATCTAAGTATTTTAACTTTTTTTAAAAGGAAAGCTCTTTATTCAAGCTACTGCAAAATCATTATTATTTGTGGGGCTTTTGTTTGTTAGATTGGGTTTTACGTCACATCGACACAGTATAGGCCATATGGCGATGTTCCAGCTATACTGGTGGAGGAAGACCTCAGGTGCCCTTCTGTGCAACATTACAGGCACCTGAGTAGAACCACCGATGTTCCGTAAGCTAGCTAGATAGCTTCCTCACATGAAATAATCCAAAGTCCATGAAATTAAGTTAATTCATAGTATTCAATAACTTACTTCCTAGCCTAACCAACTAAGATACATGGTTATTATATTATTTGACATCCTTATGTTTACCTAAGAAGCAATCAGTGAACCTACAAAATAATACTTAAGGCTTTCCTTCACAGGTTAATGCTGTTAAACTGTTAACCTGTTGTCAATTTAATATCTTCATTGTTGTGTTTTACAGCACACCAACACAATTTAGCTCATAATATTTATTACATTTAAAGAACTATTGAGAAAATAAACTTGAATTAAAAGACTATTCATTCACATAGAATACATTTTCAATTTTACAAGACTTATTTTCAAACTCAGATTAATTTTTACTGTAGAAAGTAAAATAGTTATACACAAACCTGAATCCATTCATCAAAGGCGTTGAGTAATGTGAAAGGGTCACCATGTTCTGATTCTAAACTTTTCCTGGCAGCCTGTTATAATATACAATAATAAAGATCAGTGTCTTAGCATATGTTGCTATCTTTTTGTTAACTGAATCATCAATAAAGGTCACATGTCATCAATGCCCCTATCAAGTAACATAAACTTCTCAAGTTATTAATAAGACAAGGAATAGATGACATGCCTACAGAGAGGCAGACATACCCCATCACAATCTGCTCCCATTTTTAAAGGGGGGAGGTAAAGGTGCGGGGGCATTTAATCAGAACAGCCTTACTAAATAAAGATGTAAGAAAGAAATAAGTTGTATATAGCAAGTACAATAAATTTAAAATCAAGTAAATGCAGTAATGATATCAATCATTATAAATATTGATGTCAATATAGATGTAAATCAACAAGAGCAATCAGTGATCACATGTGTCACCTCATGATAGCCAATTGCCTGTTTCAGCTACTGTGTAGTGCTGGAGACACAAAAATCAACAACTGAGCAAAACACATTTTTTATTCAAGGGCCATTACTCAGCCGAAAATCATTCAATGAGAAAAGCCATGATGAAATATGTGCAAGTACTTGAGCTACTGATCAATCCTGTAATCTGATTAAGTGATCCCTATATGTCACCACTATTCTGTAGAGATGACACAATAAATGAACTAAACATTGTAGGCTGTAAGTTAATCAATGCATAAATCACTTTCAGGCATTCAAATGTCTAGTTATTTAATCAATCAAGATACTGCCCTCCTGATTAAATCCTGCCATATATCACTCCAAAATATGAAATACACTAAAATATATCATTTGATCACCTCGATAAATTATAGTATATATAACTGGTATATATCATTTGTTACTGATTAAACATAGCTATTCAATTACATTCCTGGAAATAAAAACGCATACATCACCATGGTGTCACTTTTGATTGATGAAATTAATAAACAATTAATTATCACCATGATAGATATAAACCATATCTCACTGACTTAACCTTGTGTTTTATTAGTTAGATTAAAGGTGTAGAATTAATTTACCATGGAGTCAACATCAGTGTACATTTTGCTGGTAAAAGGTGACTGTACACTCATAGCTGCTGCTATAGACAACACAGGGTCAATCATCTGTAATAAACAATAAAATATCAAATTACAGACAGGATAAAAAATATCCAATCAAAATGTACAGCTCTTATTTGTTAAATTTGTAAAACAAAGTTTGTGGTTAATCATCGGACAATTGTTGAGTAGAATATAAAAATCTGTGCAGATGAATAATTATATAAAATGTATGCCTGTAATAAGAAAGTCTACAATAAGTTATGCTTGTTTTATGTCTATCAAAATCTATTTCACAGATGTATTTACGTAAACTTTGAGATTTTAAAATGTTTAAAACAACAAACCCATCTGCTTTTATTTCAATTTATCAGATCTTTCAACAAATAATATTCAAACAAATTCCAATCTGTAATTTTCATATGCTAATATTTTAATTCCTTTACCCATATTCTAATTCCCATTGCTATACTGTAATTCATGTGCCTAATTTGTAATTCCTACAACCATTTCTAATTCCTATGCATATACTATTATTGTAATTCTAATAATTATATTCTTATTTGTATGCATACGAGGTGTGTTCAAAAAGTTCGTGGACTTTTGCTGTCATTTTTTGCTTGGTTTATAAAAACAACCTTGGTTGATATATATCGAACGAGTGTCTTTACTTCTAAAAGTAAGTTTTACTTTTATCTTATACTTTTACATCCGTTGCAAACTATGTGCACTTTAATAACCATGGCAACGCAACATCTGCGCACGCCAAAATTTTCATATTATGTTTAAATATAAACAAATGTTGAAATAAATCGAACGGTTATTTCATCAGGTATTATGTGGTAAACATCTGCTGATATTTAAATGACATAAATCTGAATTTTTGACTTCATTTGGACGTCGAAATGCTAAATAAACAAGTTTTGAGCAGCAGTAGTCAGTAGCGATAAGTGCAAAATATAAGCCCATTTAAAAAACAAGAAATTCACACTTTCGGAAAGTTTTGCCATCAAATTTAGGATACTCCTTCATCTTCATATGAGGTGGTTAAATTAACAAAGGGCAATATAAGTTGGCAACCAGGTGACCCTGTTTCAGCTGGCGCAAGTAATTCAAAACCGGCGAATTCATGACCATAGACAGGAAGGGGCGAGGGAGAAAGCGGTGAATCGTCATGACGTTTAGAATTTGCAGGAGGATGGACAGTATGAAAGGTGTGCAAGCTGTCCGGTATGTTTAGTTTCTGCATCAGGTCTACACATTCAATTCTGACCAAACAATTAAATTTAAACAATATTTTATTTTATTTAGCAGGATGCATGCATATTTACAATAAATAAATGTAGTTACTATTTGTATTACATGTATTTTCCCTGACTTGTTTGATACTCGTATTAAATGCTACCCGGTGTTCAGTAGATTTACCGCAGATAACAATTGTCAGTTGATAAACTATTTTTTTTTACTGTTAAGAATCATATTATTTAAAGATCAGACAATGGTGGTTTTAAATTGATACAATAAATCATCAATTGAATCAACTTGATAACAATGTCCGGTAAGTGTCAAGATTACTCAAAAATCGTGATAAAGAAAGTGGTTAGCTTTCGGACCCTTATACGGAGAATGGAGCGAAAAGGTGACCGCTTTCATTCTCGTTACATCATAACAAACAGAAAAATGTTTATGGTTATATAATTAGGAGACATAGAACACACGAAAATGTACTTTCAGAAGATTGTGACATTTTTAATTGAAATTTCGACGTCACGAACGTCATTTTGTTTTATCATTAGCGTGCGCCGGATCGCGTACCCCTTGTTACTTGTAATTTTCACAGAATTGTTATTTTTAAACACATTTTATTGATTTTATCACTGTATTTTAAAGACATGTTCCAATATTTGTCTCTTGTAACATTGTGTGCGCAACTTTATAGATGTGAACAGTACAGCCGCAGTCCACAAACTTTTTGAACAGCCCTCGTACATTGTTATTCTTTTACTTATATTCTTATTCCTATTCATATATTGTAATTTTTCACTGTGTATTCTAATTTCTATGCCCATATGTATAATGTATATCCTTCTTCATTTGCAATTGTAATTTCTACATGCTTATATTTTAATTCCTGTATCATGTATATATATTTTATAATTCCTATACAACATATAGTCTAATTCCTATGAATAAATTCTAATTCCTATGTATATTATGTAATTCCTATGCCTCTATTCTTTATAGTCTGTATTAATTCTCATGCAAACATTTATATTTCAGATTATATTTATAACTGTACAGACAAATATGCTGGCAGGTATTCTATATTTCATATTTATATATTACAAACCTTTTCTACAAATTAAACAGCTTTAGCAAAAAATCCTTTTTTTTTTATTTAAATATCAAATTGTTTCACATCTTTACTCTAATTCCTTTTAATGTGAACTCATATGCATACAAAATATAAATATATATGCATGTATAAAACCTATGTATAACTCTTAATTACAATGTAATAAGCATTATGTTTTCACAAAATGTACAAAATACATACATGAAATATGGATCCCATAATAAGCATTTTTCCAATGACAACATCAACAGGTAGTTTAGACAACATCAACCCTATTGGGGTAAGACTTTCATCCTCAAATAAAGCACCTTGTTCTCGCAGAAAAATAATTGCGTTTTCAAGACTCTGGATACTAGGGGCTTCGATGAATGGAAACCTGAAGAAAGAAAATACCTGGATTTATTCATTACAATTTTTGTTATAAGTAAAAAAGTGGGTATAGGGTGGGCGACAACAGTGTTTTGAGTTAAAACACATAATTACTTTTAAAGAAATCAGTAATGTTTGAAATTTACTGACAGAGTTCAATCAATAGCCAATGAAATAAGCTAACAAAGTAATAAATTACACTCAGTTTTCACATGCATAAATCTTGAATCAACCTCTTAACAGTCAAAAGAAATATTAAGCCAGAATTTAAATCATGTGCAAAAAAAAAATTCCCAAAGCAGCAATGAAATATACATTAAGAAACTTACTTGCGAGGGTCAGGCAAGCCCATTGAGATCATTTGTAGTACAAGAGAGTCTAGCGGGACACGTTGGATCTCTGGGGTGGTATACTCCTGGTAACTTTCATATTCTTTCTCATCATATAATCTAAAGCAAACACCTGGTCCTGTCCTACCTGAAACACAACAAAAGCTGACCGTAAGATTATTGTCAGTGCTCAGTAAGAAAAGGGGCATTACTCCTTGTTCCCTGTACCCATCATGTTTGATTACCACAGAAAACACATGAATGAAGTTTCAACGCATTCCCTTCAGTAGTTTCTGAGATACCAACTTACATGCCAAAACTTTACCAAGTTAGATGGCAATGCTGACCCCAATGCAGTGGTGAGTACAATAGCTCTCCCTGCTCTACAAGTAATCATGCTAATATATAAAACTAATCTGTAAACAAGAGGGCCTTTATGGCTTTAGATCACTCACATGTCAATTATTACTTGTTAGTAATACATTGTATAATACAAATAAAGGTCTTTGGGTCAAATTCAATGCCCTTTTTTAAAGTCATACAAAGGCTAATTTTCATAAAAACAGTGTGCAAAATTCAATAATTAAAATGATAACTTTGAAGTTGTGGTTTTTTTAGGATTCATTGAGGTCTTCCAAAGATACATGTACAGTTGACTCTCAATAAGTCAAAATCGCTTTACTCAAAATTCCGCGTAAGTCGAAGAATTTCTAAAGTCCCGTCAAATTTCCTTCTTTATCTTTGTATTTTAACTCCGCTTAGGTCAAATTTTGACTTACAGAGACTCCTGTTTAGTCGAAAAGAAAATTTGGTCCCGTCAATTCAAGTCCAACATATTTTCATCTCAATTAGTCGAAGTGTGAAATCAGCCGACTGATCAAAGGTCGGCGACATCATGGTGTGATGTTGTCACTCATGATTTACACGTTTCATAGTAATTATTTTTTAATTGCCGGTCATCATATGTATTATTAACACGTCGTATAAGTGGCTTTAATCCGTTTCAGCACTTAATTGGTTTTAACAGTTAGATAACTAAATTAAAATTTGATTACATTTCTTTAAGAAAGTTGACTCGTGCCAGTCTGACGGGTGTTAGTCAAATAACAGCCTAGGTATTGATGTGTGTTACCAACGTAAATGACATTTGTATAATAAATGTTCCGTCATTTTGCATACATTTATTTGTACTTCCGGTTCACGATAGTTGCTACTTTCGTTTTCGTCCGATGATCAATTAAATCAAATATAATTGTGTGTATATGTTTCACTATTAATATACATGTATTAAATTTTGAATGATATATTTTTGTTCATTTATAATTTGTAGTTGTAAGTGATTTACCGTCATTTCAACGGTTAAATATTGCAGCATTGCCACTTACAACAATAACAAACCTTCTTCTTTGCACATTTAATCAGGCACATGTATATACATGTACGAATGGCAACGTAATGGCGGCAGTTCCACGTTACTCGAATTCCGTTTCTCTCGAAGTAAAATGCCCAGTCCCTTGGATTTCGAGTTACCGAGAGTCAACTGTATTTTGAATGCATATGCAAAATTATAATGAAGGTCAAATTAGAGAGTAATGATTTCAAAGTCAAAATAAAATATTTACTAGGTTAAATTCAAGATCAATCAATTATCTGTGTTATTCCACTAACAAAACTCTACAAATTAATGAAATTTCAAAACTATAGCTTGCATTTTTTTATATGTAGTGTAGGGATATCATAGACAAATTCATTCAAGGTTGAAGTTCATGTACTTGCGCAAAAATGTTTCAGCTGTAAAACTTTAATGAGTGTAGCTTTAAATCAACAATCATACATTCTAGACTTAAAGCTGCACGCCTCCAGATGATGCAAAATATTTCAAAAAATTCAATCTTTAGAAAAATGCATTAAGATCTTAAGAAAAGTAAAAAAGTTCAATTTTTAATTCATTATTTATACTTTATGTGCGATTAATGACTGATTTTGCAGTACCAATCACTATAATTCCTATGCGTTACTAAAGCAGTAAGAGGTATTTATGTATATTTTGACCTCTTTTTGGTAATTTACATGGATTGTAAGTGCCCTTTGCAATGTGTAAATTACTTTCTTTGTTTACTTTACAATATTTTACATTTAAATACATTTTCAAAATTTTTATGCAAATTAGCATAAATCTGGAGGCAAGCTGCTTTAAAAAAGATTTTTTGTAAGCAAGCTAAATCAATTGACATAAATAAACAGAAATGATGATCACTTAACAATACTCAGTGGTCTTCTTGTATACAAATTTTAAAAAAAATATCAGAGAACCGTAATCTGCTCAACATGTCAACATACAAATTTTTCAATTTAAGTACCTTTTTTAATGTTAATAATTACATATAGCCCACTTCAAATTTGAAAACTGTTTTACTACTCTAGTAATAATTTCAATGAAGAAAAACATTACTAAGTACAACAACAAAGGCTGCACATACAATATTAACTCCCTTTCATTGATGCACAGGAAAAGAATATTATTATTTCTTTAGTGAATATAACACTTAACAGGTCAATTGACAGAGTTTAAGAAACTTTGTTAGCTATATAGAAAAGCACACAAACTGACAGTACTCCTAAGGCCAATTTTTTTTTTTTATATTTTGGTTTACTGATTTTTTCCAAAAAAAGGTAGGGTCGGCGGCGGGAAAAAAAAAAAAAAAAAAAAAAAAAGTTTTCATAACTATAAATGTGGTGCATACATATACATAGTACTTACTAGAGCAATGAAATTAAATACATCGCCGATTGTCTATTCCAAAGATTGTTTAAATACACAAAAAAAAAACTTTTGCTCACATTGCCATTGTTTAAAAACACACATGAAATCTACACACGCTGACTTATGACAAGTGGCAAGCGAGCTCTTCAAAAGAATCTGTCATTCTTTGATGTTTACACACTGCTGTGTAATCTGAATCATCAAAGGTGCCGAAAATCAGCTGACTTGCACTCATTTCTTTATAGATCAGATGTTAAAAAAATGTCAAGAAAAGATTACACAAAGTCATGTTCAATTTTTCCCATTGTGAAAATATTTTTATTGGATAATTAGCGGGTCAATTTTTGACATAAAAATCTATTAAAAGTAAGTGCGGGCATTTTTTTTTATTTTGTTTGTTTGAAACCTGTATTCAATCTGCTTTTAAAGACTAATTTTTTTTGTTAAATCTGAAAATACTGATCTTGTCAATTGCAGCAGATTTCTCTCGCTCTGTCCTTGAATGTAATAGCTTACGTAATTTGGCGTGTTTTTTTTTGTTTTTTTTGTTTGGTTGTTTTACATTTTTACGCATTTCGACCTTCAATGCATTGATGAAATATGATCAAAGCCTAATTATAATCTGTGAGAATGGCTTGACCCCATTTAACAGACATTCTTTCATAATACACCAATAAACACTTTGCCCAACTAGCAGACGACAGGCTATTCTCGAGTAAAGATAACCGGTTGCGTATCTCACTGTATAAATCGTAGGTAAAATAGTCTGGCATGTGGTAGGTTTAACAGTTAATTAAAATACTTACCGCGACATTTCTTTGACAAGTCGTATTATTAGCAGCGTATTTCAAGACAACACAGAATTTTTTTGGGGGCAGATTTTTTTTTTTTTTTTCATTTTCCCAAAATACAGAGTCGGCGGGTCTGTAAACCGAAATATCAAAAAATAATGGCCTAACTAATCAGAAATTCTTTATATCTAACAAAACAATCATTAGGTCACATTCAATAGGAAACAGGTTTCTGTAAGCATGAACAATATTCTATTTAAATCGATGAAAAATGCAATTACAATTGCACCTTGTCAAGATAATGGGCAACATTAAAGTTTTTAAACAACAAGATAGATGACAACAACACAGCAATCATAAAACAGTGTACCTTGAATTTTTTCTTCAAAACAGACAAGCTAAAAATAAAAAATAATCACCTGCTCTGCCTTTTCTCTGTTCAGCACTAGCTCTGCTTATAGAGAACTCCTGTAGTCTCTGCATTTTGTACTTCGGATCAAAACTCATCTCCTTCACCTTCCCAGAATCGACTATAAACCTCACACCATCTATAGTTACAGAGGTCTCAGCAATGTTGGTTGAGACTATACACTTTCTTACACCCTCAGGTGCAATGTCAAACACCTTAAAATTATAAACTATAAACATGTATTACTAAATAATGAGCCACATATATGACAAGATGAGGACAATGGTAATCCGATGTAGAATTGCCACATATAGTTTTGAGGATTGAAAGTAAATAAAGCTATGAAACTCCTGTCTATAGTTAACATAACTATTAAATTTTGAAAATAAATAATTCCAACAAGAGCCATGTCAACATGGCCATCCCCCACCGAATGTGTTTGCTCATTGGAAGAATGTATATGTAGTAGAGCAGAATAATTCCATTTTAAGAGGTCTTTTGGTAATGAAAACTGATGGCTATAGTGATTACAGATTTGAAACCTATGTGAATACTGATGGCTGAAAATAACAAAAAAATAATGCAGGGTAGGTTATCATTATTGTGTCCTGCATCCCTCCTCAGTAAAATCTATCCACCTATGAAGTTTCAAGTTGATACCTCAAATACTTTTTGAGAAAAAAATTGAATTGAAAAATTAAGTATGAAAAATAACAAAGGGCAATAACTCAAAAATTATAAAAGGTAGAGTTATCATTCTTGTGCACTGCACACCTCCTGAGTTAGATCTATGCACCTATGAAGTTTCATTATGATATCTCAAAGGCCTTTTGAGTTATGATAAAAAAAGGGCAATAACTAAACAATTATGCAGGGTAGAGTTATAATTCTTGTGCACTGCACTCTTCCTCAATGAGATCCATCCACCTATGAAGTTTCAAGTTGATACCTCAAATACTTTTTGAGATAAGCTCCGGACAAAATAGCATGAAAAAGAACAAAGGGCAATAACTCAAAAATTGGTTAGGGAAGAGTTATCATTCTTGCGCACAACATTCCTCCTCAATAAGATCTATCCACCTATGATATTTCATGTTGATATCTCAAACACTTTTTGAGTTATGCTCCACTCAGGTGAAAAATTAAGTATGAAAAATAACAAAGGGCAATAACTCAAAAATTATGAAAGGTAGAGTTATCATTCTTGTGCACTGCACACCTCCTGAGTGAGATCTATGCACCTATGAAGTTTCATGTTGATATCTCATAGGCTTTTGGAGTTATGCTCTGGACAAAAATCAATTTTGAAAAATAACAAAGGGCAATAACTCAAACATTATGCAGGGTAGAGTTATCATTCTTGTGCACTGCACTCCTCCTCAATGAGGTCTATCCACCTATGAAGTTTCAATTGATAACTCAAATACTTTTAGAGATATGCTCCGGACAAAAATGTCAGACGGAAGGACAGACGGAAAGTCGGACGGACGGAGACTATTTCTATATCCCCCGACGCCTTTTCGGCGGGGGATAAAAATACCTATATGAAAGAAATACGTTTTTATGGAGTATACACAAAATCATTGATAAATGGTTAAAACCCTTCTTAATATAGGGCATAATACTTTGTTTCAGAATATTTTATTCTATGTATGTACAATATTGATGTCAGATAAATAACAGTAGATATTCTAAGTAACAACTCTTTTGAGAAACAATAATGAGATTATGGAAACAGTTTATAAATTTTACAAAAATATTTAGTAGATGTAGTTTTTATTCCCTTTAAGTCTGCGTCACGACAACACCAACATATTGCGTTTGCGACCAGCATAGATCCAGACCAGCCTGTGCATCCGCGCAGTCTGATCAGGATCCATGCTGTTCGCTTACAAACCCTATTACAGGTAGAGAAACTGATAGCGAACAGCATGGATTCTGATCAGACTGCGCGGATGCGCAAGCTGGTCTGGATCCATGCTGGTCGCAAACCCATTATGTTGGTTTTGTCATGACGCAGCTCATATATAGATACAGATATATCAGGTTTATAGACACACCTTTTCCTGTTCATCAACAGAGAGTGCACTATGAAGGGGCAGCACTATCCATGTTTTTGTTTGTTGAGTGTACGCCCTAGCTGCCTCTACTACAGACATTATTTCTTTCTGGCCGCTCAGAAATATAAGTAGATCTCCACGTTCTGAACGAGGGTACTGTAAAACAAATATACTGGTTATATTATCATATATAATTATCCTGATAATATTGTATGAAGAGGCACAAAAAAGAATCAATTTTAAATTTATTATAATACTGCAAGTTTGAAAATCAAATATCAATTCTTTATTGCACTATTATGTCAGATGTGTATATTCTTTACATACATGATAGGAGCCTAGTTTCCTATAGGCCATGTAGGCAGCATAAAATGCTTGTGAAGAGAAAGTGAAAAAAATTTATTTCTACCTTTAATTTCTAACAATCTCCTGAACATATTTTTTGTACGTAATATATGCCAAAATTCACCAGACAATCCAGACAGAAATTCTAGCATAACCCTGGACCCACCTAGAAGTCTGCCTACACATATGCCTACACATATAATTAACCCATGCTACATTCTTGCATAGCTACTGCAAATTTTTATTTCAATCAAAGAAATCAAAATACAGACATAGACAGGTTATATGGACTTCATAACACTGCCTTTTTGCTTGGGAAGTATAAACTTACAACATCCAAGATGTCATGTCAAACAACTGTGGACATCACATTACTACATGTACAAAAGATAGTCAACAAAGATACAGACATCAAACACTTATGAGCCAGGTGAAAGATAAAAATATCTAAAATATATGTACTTTTATAAAGACAAAAAAAAATAATATATATATATAAATAATTCATGAATTCAAAGAGAACCTTTTTCTCAATTCTCTGCATAATTTTGAGATATGGTGAGGGGTCCAGTCTCTCTGTCCTTGTATCACTGTCCTTCTGTATAGGACAAAACTCCATCTCTATAGGATATAGTCGTCCAGGTACCTGATAATATTGTCATGATAGACATACATGTGTAGACAAATCATAAAATTTATGTATTAATTTACTATGGGATATATTGATTAAGTTTTATTCTTTGGATTTCCTAAGAATATGTCCCTATTTTTATTGTATGAATAACTTAGGGATATGTCCATTAGGTTTTATATTGTATGAATTACATAGGAATATGTCCATATTTTATTGTATGAATTACTTAGAAATATGTCCATATGGTTTTCTTAAGTATGATTTTAGGGATAATTAAGGGATATATCCATATTTTATTGTATGAATTACTTAGAGATTATTAAAAATTATGCAAAAAGAACAATTACCTTCATAACTGGAGCATCTTCAAAATAATTACTGAAAAGATCAATGTTGATGGTTGCTGACATCAGCACAACCTTCACATCATCACGGTGATGTACGAGACATTTGAGAATGCCAAGCAGGAAGTCTGTGTGAATGTGCCGCTCATGAACTTCATCAATGACTATCACGTTATACATTGACAGGTGCGGATCTGACGTCATCTGACGTAACAATAAACCTAAATATATAACAATAAACCTAAATATATAACAATGAACCTAAATATCTAACAATAAACCTAAATATATAATAATAAACCTAAATATATAACAATGAACCTAAATATATAACAATAAACCTAAATAAATAACAAACATGTATGAGGGGTGGAGTAGGGTTGTTTGTGAATAAGAGTCAAAGTTTCTTTGTGCATTAGAAGTGGAGTATGTTTGTATGTGTATCATAGGTGGAGTAATTTTTGGGGAAATTAGAGATGAAGTATGTTTGATTGTGTATTATATGTGGAGTAATTTTTTGGGGAATTAGAGATGAAGTAAAATTAATTGTGTATTATATGTGGAGTAATTTTTTGGGGAATTAGAGATGAAGTAAGTTTAATTGTGTATTATTGGTGGAGTAATTTTTTGGTGAATTAGAGATGAAGTAAGATTGATTGTGTATTATATGTGGAGTAATTTTTTGGGGAATTAGAGATGAAGTAAGATTGATTGTGTATTATATGTGGAGTAATTTTCTTGGGGAATTAGAGATGAAGTAAGTTTGATTGTGTATTATATGTGGAGTAATTTTTTGGTGAATTAGAGATGAAGTAAGATTGATTGTGTATTATAGGTGGAGTAATTTTTTGGTGAATTAGAGATGAAGTAAGATTGATTGTGTATTATATGTGGAGTAATTTTTTGGTGAATTAGAGATGAAGTAAGATTGATTGTGTATTATATGTGGAGTAATTTTTTGGGGAATTAGAGATGAAGTAAGATTGATTGTGTATTATAGGTGGAGTAATTTTTTGGTGAATAAGAGATGAAGTGGGAAGTTTGATCAAGTTAGTATGTTTGTGTATTAGTGGTGGAGTAAGTTTATTATGTAAAAGTGGTTAAGTAGTTAAATTGTTTCTATATAAGAGGTAGGGTAAGTTTATATGTGGTATGTTTAATTGTTTATTAGGTGGTGTAAGTTTGTTGATCCTAGCATACAGTATATACATGTATATGATTAGAATTTTATGCTTAAAACTGAAACAAGAGAGTCAGTCACAGCAGCAAGGCTTAATGTTACTCTATCTTAAATTACTTTAATCTTTCCATTGACAATAATTTGCAGCATTACGAACAATCTCTTAATTTTCATAAAAACAAACGATGAATCTGAAAAAGTATGCTGCTTTTTACTAATTAACAATTCAATTAACAATTAATATTATCAGAAGGTCCATTTATTCATCAGTCCCCAACTCATTAATCATAAAAATTCGCCTTTTTAGCTGTTTTTTATGGCCTTTGTAGAAAGGACAAGTTCAATTAAATCAAACTGTTTCCTTTAAAACAATAACTAAATATATCAAAACTGAGTCCATATGAATTATCACCGTATCAAAAAAACCCTCAAAAACTTTTATTGCAATTTCTGCTTCGCTGATAATAGTCAATTACAATAATTTCCTTGGGGTTTACGTTTTAATTTTTCTCACCTTCAGTCAAGAAAGAGTAGCGTTTGTGTTTGCTCGTATCTCGTTTTTCTCGAACCGCCACCTGAGAAGTTAAAATTTCCTTATCCCACTATAATTAATTCAATAAATTATTGCCCATAATTAAAGAAATATACTCCAGGATAATTAACAATTATACTTTATATATTGTAGAATCCCCAAGTATATAATCAACAACTCAAAGATGAAATTTACAGTAAATTAAACAGAAAATTAAAACTTACGCTCTACAAATAAAATGCTTCAAAGAAATGAATTTTCATTGTCAGAATATAAAACACAAAAACCTAACCATTTCATTAAAGGAAGAATAAAAACAATAGAAGGAAATAGATTTAATTACATTGATGGGCATCGTGCCACCTGGAGTGCCACGTTTTTAATTTTATAAATATATTCTCAGAGTTCACACTAAATCTATTGAAATATCATTTAAAGGCATTTGTGATTCTTTGATTAAAATTGTTTTTCAATAACCTAGTGTTTCATCATAAATTATTGTTTACACTAGATACGTTTTTTGTGTTATATGGTTCTTATTTTAATAAACGTTCAAAGTAGTTGTTTTGTGGTGCTGTGGTATTGCCATTCTGTAGCGATAGTTCCGTCATTTAACTTATGAGTTGTTAACCAGTATAATTATACACATGCTATGTTGATGATTTATTGTTCAAAACAAATGTAAAGGAAGAGGAAATAACAATTGTTGGCAGATATACCCATATGTGAAATCTGTTTAAAATCAAATCTTCTGAACTGATTGTTTGTCTGGATGTATATTTATACTAGCAGCTTAATGGTGGAGCAAAACTATCAGATGCCCCTTCATGCAATTAATTCAGACACTCACAGGCACCATAGTTAACCATCAACCTTCAGTAATTTAACAAGATAACTGCCTCACAGTACCTGATAGGATTTTCAACCTCACAGCAGTCAGTGGCAAGTGATTTTTGAAGTCAACAACCTTGACCACTCAGCCAACAAGCTACCCCACTACCAACCTGGATTTGAGTTGTAAATCAAACCCTCCTCTCCCCGACCTTAGACTTGCTGTAAGGTTATTAAAACATTTTTCTTCTTACCTGGAAAACCCTCCCCACCCTACCTTTAGACTTTGCTGAAGTTTAACACAATTTTCCCCTTACCTGAACAACCCTCCCCTACCCCCACCTTAGACTTGCTGTAAGTTATCAACCATTTCCCCCTTTACCTGGAACAAACCCTCCCCACCCCTACCCTTATACTTGCTGTAAGTTATATAACACATTTTCCCCTTACCTGGAACAACCCTTTCCCCTACCCCTACCTTAGACTTGCTTGTAAGTTATAACCACAATTTTCCCCTTACCTGGAACAATCCCTCCCCTACCCCACCTTAGATTGCTGTAATATAAAAACATTTTCCCCTTAACCTGGAACACCCTTCCCCACCCCTAACCTTATACTTGCTGTAAGTTATAACACATTTCCCTTACCTGGAACAACTCTCCCTCCCCTACCTTAGACTTGCTTAGTTAAACAATTGTCCCCCTTACCCTGAACAACCCTTCCCCACCCCCTACCTTAGACTTGCTGTAAGTTATAAACACATTTCCCCTTACCTGGAACAACTCTCCCTACCCCTACCTTAGACTGGCTGTTAAGTTATAACACATTTTTCCCCTTACCTGGAAACAAACCTCCCACCCTACCTTATACTTGCTGTAAGTTATAAAACACATTTCCCCTTACCTGGAAACAACCTCCCACCCCTACCTTAGGACTTGCTGTAAGTTATAACACATTTTCCCCCTTACCTGGGAACAACTCTCCCCTACCCCTACCTTAGACTTGCTGTAAGTTATAACCACATTTTCCCCTTACCCGGAACAACCCTTCCCCACCCCTACCTTGACTTGCTGTAAGTTATAACACCATTTTCCCCTTACCTGGAACAACTCCCCCACCCCTACCTTAGACTTGCTGTAAGTTATAAAACACATTTTCCCCTTACCTGGAAACAACCTCCCCACCCCTACCTTAGACTTGCTGTAAGTTATAACACATTTTCCCCTTACCTGGAACAAACCCTCCCCTACCTTACCTTTTAGACTTGCTGTAAGTTATAAAACATTTTCCCCCTTACTGGAACAACCTCCCCTACCCACCTTAGACTTGCTGTAAAGTATTAAACATTTCCCCCTTACCTGGAACAACCCTCCCCACCCCTACCTTATACTTGCTGTAAGTTATAACACATTTCCCCTTTACCTGGAAACAACCCTCCCCTACCCCACCTTAGACTTGCTGTTTAAGTTATAAAACATTTCCCCTTACCTGGAACAACCCTCCCACCCCTACTTTAGACTTGCTGTAAGTTATAAAAACATTTCCCCCGTTACCTGGAACAACCCTCCCCACCCCTACCTTAGACTTGCTGTAAGTTTATAACACATTCCCCCCCTTACCTGGGAACAAACTCTCCCCACCCCTACCTTAGACTTGCTGCTAAGTTTATAACACATTTTCCCCCTTACCTCGGACAACCCTCCCCATCCCCTACCTTAGACTTGCTGTAAGTTATAACACATTTTCCCCTTACCTGGAACAACCCTCCCACCCCTACCTTTTAGACTTGCTGTAAGTTATAACACATTTCCCCCCTTACCTGGAACATACCCTCCCCACCCCTACCTTAGACTTGCTGTAAAGTATAACGCATTTTCCCCTTACCTGGAACAACCCTCCCACCCCTACCTTAGACTTGCTGTAAGTTTATAACACATTTTCCCCTTACTGGAACAACCCTCCCACCCCTACCCTTAGACTTGCTGTAAGTTTATAACACATTTTCCCCTTACCTGGACAATCCCTCCCCACCCCTAACCTTAGGACTTGCTGTAAGTTATTACACATTTTTCCCCCTTACCTGGGACAAATCTCCCCTCCCCTACCTTAGACTTGCGGTAAGTTATAACACATTTAACCCTTACCTGGGACAAACCTCCCCACCCTACCTGTAGACTTACTGTAATGTTGTAACACATTTCCCCCTTACCTGGAACAACCCTCCCCACCCCTACCTTAGACTTGCTGTATGTTAAAATACATTTTCCCCTTACCTGGAACAACCCTCCCAACCCCTACCTTAGACTTTGCTGTATGTTATAATTAGGCATTTTCCCCTTACTGAACAACCCTCCCAACCCCTACCTTAGACTTGCTGTAAGTTATAACACATTTCCCCCTTACCTGGGGACCAAAACCTCCCCACCCCTACCTTAGACTTACTGTATGTTGTAATACATTTTCCCCTTACCTGGAACAACCCTCCCCTTACCCCAGCTTAGACTTGCTGTAAGTGTATGTAAAACATTTTCCCCTTACCTGGAACAAACCCTCCCCTACCCCTACCTTAGACTTGCTGTATATTATTATACACATTTGCCCCTTACTGGGGACAAAAACTTCCCCACCCCTACCTTAGACTTGCTGTTATGTTGTAACACATTTCCCCTTACCTGGAACAACCCTCCCCACCCCTACCTTAGGACTTGCTGTATGTTATAATACATTTTCCCCTTACCTGGAACAACCCTACCCCTACCCCACCTTAGACTTGCTGTATGTTATAATACATTTTCCCTTACCTGAAACCAACCCTCCCCTACCCCACCTTAGGACTTGGCCTTGTATGTTATAATACATTTTCCCCTTACCTGGGACAACCCTCCCCTCCCCTTTACCTTAGACTTGCTGTAATTATAAACACATTTCCCCTTACCTGGAACAACCCTCCCCACCCCTACCTTAAACTTGCTGTAAGTTATAACCCATTTTCCCCTTACCTGGAACAACCCTCCCCACCCCTACCTTAGACTTGCTGTAAGTTATTACACATTTTCCCCTTACCTGGAAAACCGTCCCCACCCCTACCTTAGACTTGCTGTAAGTTATTACACATTTTCCCCTTACCTGGAAACAACCCTCCCAACCCCTACCTTAGACTTGCTGTATGTTATAATACATTTTCCCCTTACCTGGAACAACCCTTCCCCTACCCCACCTTAGACTTGCTGTATGTTATAATACATTTTCCCCTTACCTGGAACAACCCTCCCCTACCCCACCTTAGACTTGCTGTATGTTATAATAGATTTTCCCCTTACCTGGGACAACCCTCCCCTCCCCTACCTTAGACTTGCTGTAAATTATAACACATTTTCCCCTTACCTGGAACAACCCTCCCCACCCCTACCTTAGACTTGCTGTAAGTTATTTAAAACGCATTTTCCCCTTACCTGGAACAACCCTCCCCACCCCTACTTTTAGACTTGCTGTAAGTTATTACAACATTTTCCCCTTACCTGGAAAAACCGTCCCCACCCCTACCTTAGACTTGCTGTAAGTTATTACACATTTTCCCTTACCTGGAACAACCCTCCCAACCCCTACCTTAGATTTGCTGTAAGTTGTAACACATTTTTCCTCCTACCTGAAACAACCCTCCACACCCTACCTTAGACGTTGCTTAAGTTATTACACATATTCCCCTTACCTGGAAAAAAACCCTCCCCACCCCTACCTTAGACTTGCTGTTAGTTATTACACATTTTCCCCTTACCTGGAAAAACCCTCCCCACCCCTACCTTAGATTTGCTGTAAGTTGTAACACATGTTCCTCCTAACCTGGAACAACCCTCCACACCCCTACCTTAGACTTGCTGTAAGTTATTACACATTTTCCTCCTTACCTGGAAAGCAACATCAGAGCCATACTCGTTCAGAGTTTCATATCCCACACGCTTTGACAGTGAAACACAAGCTATCCTCCGAGGCTGAGTACATGCTATCTTCTCATAACCCGCCTGCAGTAAATACTGAGGTACCTAAAACAAGATATATACCATATGTATTTGTTTAACCATCCACTGTACTTTATTTACTACATATACATCTACCTACTACAAATGTGTAGGGGAATTATAAATCTTCTGACATAATAGACCTTTTTTTCAGCTAGAGATTCAATGGTATAACCCCATTGTGCATTGGACTTTGTATTGCATTGCAACATAATTACTGATAATGACTTTCCTATGCAACCAGTACAGTACAGTACTCATGGTTATAAATCTGAAATCACAAATTATGGGAAAATATGCATGTGACAGGATAGCTCATTTGAAAGAGCAGTAATACAGAATTATGCGGGGAGCATACTGAATCAGGCTGCAAGCCTTTCTAATCCTGAAACATTACATTTGTTGCACGAAATGGGGAACAATATGAATTTGATGGCCAAGATGGATTTTCATCAGTCTTAAATTGTACCCTTAAAAAAACACGAGTTTGTTTGATTGTGTTTTACATCACACCAACACAGTATAACGTCATATAGCAATGTTCCAGCTTTACTGGTGGAGGAAGACCTCAGGTGCGCTTCCATGCATTATTTCAGGCATGAACGGCACCTGAGTAGAACCACTGACGTTCTGTAAGCTAGCTGGATAGCTTCCTCAAGAATCCGAAGTCCTGGTTGAGATTCAAACCCACAGCAGTGAGGGGCAAGTGGTTTGAAGTCAACAACCCTAACCATTCGGCCACGGACACCCCTAAAAAACATGAGGATGAATTTCAATATAGAATGGGTGGCTAAGTGTCATGGTATAGAACTGTTTACTTATAGCAGACAATATTTGTGTAATCCGTTGATAAATTTGCAAAAATCAATTTGACTGGGTCATGGTTCAAGTCCCAGTTAGACAGAACATCTTTTGCAATCTGTCATACACTTCAACTAGACTCTATTGTAACAGTACTGGCTTTTTATTTTTAGCATTTCTTTATTAAGACCAATCTTTACTAAAATTAACCAGATCCAAGTTAGAAGGGATTAATACACTCTTGAGTCAAGGTTTTGAAGGTATTACCCTTTATTATTCAAGCAATTTATATACATGTATATCACAATGTATTATATTGCAATAATTGTCTTTTAATATTGCAATAATTATTGCAATACAATTTTATGTTTTCAATGAACTGTTTACATTTTCCACATTACTTTAGTTATGTAAGTGCACCGAGGCTGCACTGATTTGTAATCTTAATAAAAATATGAGAAAGACTAATAAATATAAAACTTATTATAAAAGTTTTTTGTTATTACCACATGAAGTATAGGAATCTGATTAAAATAATTTCCTTAATGGAAATTAATTAAGAATACAGTAAGACATCTATATACTATTCTTTTCATAATTTTGTATTACACATTTTAGTCTTGATAGATAAAAATTAACTGTTTCGTAATGTCTTAAAACAAGAGAATCTTGTGGGCCTGTCTTAGCCCTAGAAAAAAGGAACATGATGATGCTAGAATGCCTGAGATCTATGGCTAGATTTGTTCATTCACATTGGGTTTGTCATTTTCTTCAAAACAGACAAGCTAAACAGGATGATAGTCTTACTTCAATCTAACTACAGAAGCTGTTATTAAGAATAGTCTGACTTGGATCACCTTAAAAAAAACAAAACTCATTTCTCCTGCTTTAGTCTTCTGGTCTTTTTTTTTTAATCCAAGATCTCTTTTTTCTTTACTACATGCAATCATAAGGATTTTTTTTTCAACTTCTATAAAAAGCTATGATATATTGCTCACTCGAGACACTGTGTAATTAGATTAAATTGTATTGATAAACAAAGAATTGCGGAATAAATCTAAATATCTAAATGAATAATACTATAGAGACTATGATGCCAATATAAAATAAAACTAAGACCAAATGAATAACCTCTTTAATCTACGTATTAAAATAAGTTGAGAGATATTCAAATCAATATTTAAGCATTAGCAATATTATCTATATAAATGTGACAAGAAATATCAAACACAAGACCTGATGGCAACTTAACGCTTGCGAAACATTAAAAGAAGATAGGAAAGTGTTTTAAATCAACTCTATTTCATAAAATTCACACTGGTGTGAAGATCAAAAGTGCGTTACTTTGTACAGATAGAAGTTCCTTAAAGGTATATACAGGTCAAATATTAGAGAAAAGTGATAATGTAACATTCAATCCATTAAAGGTTTGCAGCATCACCACCATTATTTGTTCTTTATTTTCATACAGTTCTAACATTGTTGCGTTAAGCCCTCGGCAAATAACGTACCTTACATGAAACACACATGCTTTTACTTCAGTTTTGTTATGAAGCTAATATGTACGATATCTAACAAAAAAAAAATACAACAACACGGATTGAAGCTTTAAGCACTTCGTGACAACATCTACATCACAAAATGTTCTATCATTCTCATGAGATATAATTGTTTTCAATAGATCTTTTATTTTTTTCTAGGTTATGAAAAATAATGAACAAGTTCATCAAACTTGTTTTTTTTTTTTTTTTCATATTCAATACAATCCTATCAGCTTACAATTATTAAAAAAAATTAGTAACACAAAATGCATCCAGAAACTCCTGACCCATGTAGGATTCTTACATGCGACCACAAGCTTACAAGCAAATAAGCAATTCTTTAGACCATTGAGTATCAGAAGTTGCACAATTATTTATAGGTAAACTGGTATGTGAGCCGTCCAGTTAGCTCAATAAGTAGAGTATAGGAGTGTGAATCGGGTGATAGGGTTTGATTCCTGACGTAGGGCAGGTCACTTTATTTTGATTAATCATGAAATCCTTTCTATGGTCATTTGCATTGTACCTTTGCTCTAACATATACAGAAGTTATCAGTTTCCTTTGAAAGTGAATGCAACTAATATTGGTAAACTGCTTGACATCATGCCTAGGAATGATGTGGTAAACTCAATGTGGCTTACTCTGTCAGTATACTCTACATTCTAAACTGACTGTGTAAATTACCTTCTACATTGTACCTTATCTTATGTCAAACTGTCACTGTCAAGGTCATATAATAATTTCCAACATCGTCACTGGAGAAAAATCTCAGACGCCCTATTGTGAATTTTCAAATTCATGGGCAGGCAACTTAATATAAGTACTAATATAAAGTAAGTTAGCTGAATAGCCATATCACAAGGAAGAATTGAGAACTGCAGTGAGGGGCAAGTAATTCCAAATTTAGCTATCTTAATTTTAGCAAGTTTGTGTTAAAGTATAAATTAAAATAATTGAGTAGATTTGTCACAATGACAAAAGCTGCAAAGTTTGCATAAGAGTAGGAATTAAAATACTTAAGTAAATTTGTGACAATGACATTTAAAGTGGCCAAAATTGCGTTAAAGTAGAAATTAAAATAACACAGAAGATTGACCAAAGCTGCAAAATTTTCGTCAGAGTAGAAATTGAAATACCTGTGACCATGACCAAGTGATCAAGTTTGCATAAAATTAGAAATTGAAATACCTAATGCCCCTGTCACATATTCACGGATAATGCCACGGAAGAGCTACGGTCTAATTGTTCACGGATTACTACGGAAAAGTGAAATTCCGTAGTCCGCTACGGTTCCAGCACGGACACACAACGGTATGAGTACGGAGTTCGACGGATTTACCACCAAAAGCCCCGGGAGAGACAAGGATTGTTACGGACAGACACGGTTTGATACGGAGCGACACGAATCAGGACGGACGCACTACGGATACACTACGGTCTGCTACGGTATAAGCACGGGTTAGTACGAATAAGTACGGTCTGATACGGAGAAGAACGAATTGATACGGAGAAGAACGAATTGCCACGGATGTATACGGACATATTATATCCGTCCACAACCTCTTGCATGCTCAATGTCTCACAAGAAAAGAACACCTAGAAAACGAATTGCAGAGTTCAATGATTTTGGCGGAAAGGATTCGGCCTCATCGCGTCCGACCCCCGAGACATATCAGGTCCGATTATAGTGAAATTCTTGAAGGACGCCGGATCCTCAACAAGTTCGGCCATAAGAGCCTCATGCTAAACATGAAGGGGTCTTCGTAAAAGCCCATCTCTAGTCAACTATCACCTCTGTCTTCTCTTACCTGATTAGATATTGACTAGTAATCATTAATGAAAAATGTTGATAAATACTGCTTCTCTTTTGATTTTAAAATGTGCTGTTCATTACAATAACATTAATTATCGTGTAAGAATATGTAAAATGCTTGTTAATTAATCTTAGTATCACTAAAGGGCAGCGCCCGAGGCTTATGAGACACTTCGTTTTATGTACATATTTACTCCAATTTCACAATTCAATGTTTATATGTTACTATATTACTTATGCATTGTTGTACGACATTAACATATTTTTTTTACCTCTATGCATGTCATCAAGCAGCTCGACCACTGCCTCCGTATTCTGAGCTAAATCAATATACATTTGCAGCCAGTTAATGGCAATTATCATTTATTGAATGCTCAAACACATATCTGTTTTAACAAGCAGGTGGTATTTGTACATTTGAAAAAGTACATGATACTTAATTTATCCGTACTAAACAGTGGTGGACCGTACCATTCCGTACCGTTTCGTGATGCAATGCAATAAACCGTATAAGACCGTGATAATCCTTGCCTCTCCGTAGTACAGCGTACTACGATCGTGGCTTTCCGTGATAATGCCGTATTAATCCGTATTTAAACCGTAGCTTATACGTAGGGTAACCGTACAAATACGTAGTTCTCCGTACCAAACCGTGGACAAGCTCGGGCCTACGAATCAGTACGGACTAGTACGGTTTTCGTACGGACAAGTACGTATCAGTACGGTTTAATACGGACTAATAGGGATACGCTACGGTTGAATTTTCCGTAGCAAATTTTTGTGCATGTTCAAAAATTGTCAAGGATCGCTACGGATATACAAGGACTACTACGATTGATCACGGTTACAATACGGAGAGCTACTGACCAGTACGGGTAACTACGGACGATGCCGGAATTAATCCGTGGCTCTTCCGTAGGCGTTTTCCGTGAATATGTGACCGGGGTATAAGAACATTTGCCACAATGATAAAAGTGGCAATAGTTTGGGTAAAAGTAAACATCAAAATACCTGAGTAGACTTGCCACAGCCAGTATCTCCTGCGATTATAACGACCTGATTGTCTCGTACAAGCTCTACTATTTCCGACTTGTGCTGGAAGATCGGCAGATTCTCCTGGTCCGCCTTTACTTTCTTCAACTTGGATAACTGAATACATCGAACAAGACATAACACTATCTTAAATGATATATTAAAACTAATAACAGCAAGCAATACTATCATTTCCATGTTCTGGTATGAAAATCTCCTAATTTACTCTTAAGTTTATGACAACAAGAAACCAAAGTGGGTCTACAATTGCCCAACTAAATAAATGGACAAGATTTTACTTTAAACATAATCCTAGAGGCAAGGTCTTGATTTACAAAACTGTTAAAGTGGCCCATTAGATAATGTTTCTCACCAAACCTCGAAGATTTAAAACATTTACAAAACATAAATAAAGATGTGCCCTTATTAAATAAGTAATAATAACTATTACCGAACCTTTTGTTTCTGTTGAAAGTCAAGGTAGTGCAATAATATATTCTTAAATTCCTTCACTCTCTCAACTGTTATCTCTTCATCAATGTCCGCATCTGAAGGATAAACACAATCATTAAAATCTATTGATAGGAGAGGTATTTATGGCTTACCTTATTTACCAGTAAACAGCTAGGTCAGTCAGCACATCTGTACATTTTTACCTTTTTCTAGGTTAGCTATTACCTATTTCAAGGGATGACATGGTAAACAAAAATGCTAACAGTTAAAATGGCAATCAAATAACTATGTTAAACAAAAAACCAACTGTATTAATAGAATTCTTTCATTTTAAACATAAATTTGTGTTTTATGATAAGTTATCACATTTTGTTTGTATTTTGTTATACTCAACAATGATAACAAAACATATCCAATTACAGAGTTAATTGTCAATTAGGACCATACCATACATAAGGTAGTAATTGCAATCAGAAAAAAATACAACTTAAATACAAATCAAATGTGATATATTACCATAAAGAAACAAACTTAATGTTTAAAATCAATCTGAAATTTCTTCAGCTGTCAGTCTAATAGACTAATACTAATCTTGTTACTGGTTATTGAATTTTTTAGCCGGTGCTTTATTAAAGTCTGACCGGACCTGTGCAGAACCAGGTTAAATGGGTTAATGTGACAACACTTACAAATGTACCCTATTTTTTACTGGTCATATCCTAATGAACAAAACCAGTGATTGATGAATAAATTACCTCAAACCCACTCTGTTATTCTTGATGTTGTGTTAACGTTCTACTTGTCTTCCATAATTATGTCAGTTTAATTAAGCTAATTCACAAAGAACTTAAACAACATATTTATTTAATCAAATTCAATGTAATTTATATAATCTTAATTTGTAATATTAGCTTTTCCTCCCGTTTCTCTTTCAAATGCTTTATAAACATTGAACAAACAGACATTATAAAGATTTGAAATGTGGTATATAAGCTTGCCATGGATGTAAAACTTGTACATACTCTAACATTTACAAAAAGAAAGTCTGAGATACATTGTATAAAACTGCAGGAAACTATCACTGTAAAATTTCAAACTCAAAGTATTTTATCCTTACATTTAATTCTATGATTTTAGAAAGTAACATAGAAAACATTTCATAACTTGGACTGATCAGTATCTACTTATACATAGATTATTTTAAAAAGGAAAGAAATCTACATAAGTTTTCGACTTCCAATCCTTTTCAATCTGTATCATATCATGTTGTTGTACATAATTATAATTATATATTCAATTAACTCCATTTATATGAAATAAATAATGTTTAAACCAAACAATGTACACCGTATTATCATGACTTAAATGTATATAAGTATTCATGTTTTTTATATAAAAGACATTACCTGCAAGCCTCCCTTTTTTAATAAAATCTTCAACATCTCTGTTTTTCAAGGCTATGTTTATACGGTATCTTTTATCATAGTGAGATGGTATACCAAGACTAGACTCTCCTGTCACACATGGTTTGGTCTCTGAAAGTAAAAATTAAAAGCATTAATTTACCCCTTGAAATTGAATGTCAGCCTTTTTGTGCATCTTGGTAGGTTAAAAGTTTAGCATTTTATCATTTAAGCACCTTGTCTGGTATATACAGGAATACTGTATGTAATGTACATGTGTAGTGCTCCAACACTATTTTAAGTCTCACTCAAGAAATATTCAACTTTTTTAAAACATGATCAGTTGAAACAGAATATGACACCTTTACTTTAAAAGAATTTAGAATTTGTTATGAACAACTATCAACCACTTACTTGGATTTCTATCTTTTTGTCGTTTTTGGAAGTTTTCATATTTTTCAACAAACACCCAAAAGTCATCATATTCTTTACTTCCTCTGTAAAATAATACAAAAAAAGTTATTTAAAAAGAGATGGCAAAGTCATCTCCAGATAACAACATATACTGTTTCATAGACTAAAATACTTATACCCTTGTCCTTGAGTTGCTATGAATTGAACTCAGTTTTTTAAAATCACCTTTGAACAAAGACATTCATCATATGAGCATTTCCTTTAATCCAACTCTGTTGAATTTATAACAATTAAGTTGATTTCCTCAAAGGAGAAAGTGAATATCTGCTAAACATGATAGTGTTTTATCAATATGGTACATTGTAATATCATTTTGACTATGTAGATTGCATGTGCAGGATGGACATTGTAGGTACCTTGGTATACAAATTTTCAGGCAAATAATGATGGCATAATACAATTTTTAAAAGTGCTGTGTTTTTGAAATTATAGGTTGTAACTACTTTGCTGGGGTCAGGCATGTCATACAAAACTTTTTTCTCAATAATTAAAAATTTTTTAATGAGTACAGAATGAAAACAGTACTAAATTTATACAGTACAGATTGAAAATAGTACTTAATTCATACTGTAAAGAAAGTTTACAGTACTATATTCATATGGTACATAATGCATGCAGTATTAAATTCATAAGGTACAGAATGAAAACAGTACTAAATTTATATGGTAAAGAATTAATACAGTACTAAATTCATATTGGTACAGAATGAAACAGAGGTTACAGTACTAAATTCATATGGTACAGAATGCATGATACAGTACTAAATCATATGGTACAGAATGAAAACAGTATTTAATTCACATGGAAACGACAGAATACAGTACTTAATTCGTATGGTACTGAATGCATACAGTACTTATTAGATTCATACAGTACAGAATGAAAACAGTACTCAATTCATATAGTAAAGAATTAATGCAGTACTTATTCATACTGTAAAGAATGAATATAGTACTAAATTCAAACAGTATGGAATGAATACAGTATTGGCAGATTTTATCATTGCTCAATATAATTTTTGCTGAGGCAGGGCATTTTATATGCCTAATGTCAAACTTATAAGATGGTATCATGGATAAAAATATATCATAAAGACAGATAGCAAATTTATTACTGTAAATGACCAGGTACAGATGATGATTTTTCTGTTAGAAAAATATACAATCTAATTATTTCTAAGTCAAAATATTAGCATTTAGTAACATGAAATATCTAAACTTTCTTGGTTTCATTTTGACTGAACAAAAACAATTTGTTCAAAAATCAATTACACTATATAATATAAAATTTGCCTTTCACTTATGATACTCAAATTTACCTGAAAAAGACACACAGTGAGTCAAAATAAAACTTTAATACACTAAAGTGTGAATACATGTATTACTCATTAATAACACAGTAATATGATCGTTGAAAAAGCAAAATGGCATGACCCTTAAGGCAATAAATAATTTCACAGAAATTTGGATAAAAAGGGACATAACATCAATAAAATCAAACTCAACTTGTGTTTAAACTAAAATATTGACATAAACTAATAAAGCGCATTAAAAGTCCTCAAAAGTGATCCTGCGGGAAACAAAAGGGCCATGATGCCCCTGAAATAGCTCACCTGTATATAGGCCCCTGGGCCAAGGCCAACTTTAAACCAAGGGCTTTTATTTGAACCAACTTGGTAGACACCCATTAGAAGATGTTTTATGATAAATATCTAAGCTCTAGTTCTTTTGGGTTTTTATAAGAAGATTTTTTAAGTTTTTACTATATACATATATATATAGGGAAAAACAATGACCCCCCCCCCCCCCCTTGGAGGGACCAATTTTGATCCCAGGACTTTTATTTGAACAAACTTGGTAGACACTCACTAGAAGATGTTTCATGCTTAATATATAAGCTCTAGCTATTTTGGTTTTTTAAAAGAGGATTTTTTAAGTTTTTACTATATACAAATAAGGAAAATCAATGACCCCCTGGGGCGGGCCAATTTTTACCCCAGGGCTTTTATTTGAAAAAACTTGGTAGACACCCACTAGAGGATGTTTCATGCTTAATATCTAAGCTCTAGCTATTTGGGTTTTTTAAAAGAAGATTTTTTAAGTTTTTACTATATACAAATATGGAAAACCATTGACCCCCTGGCGCATTTTAGGCCATACAACGCCAAAACAGGAATGATGATTTTTTGCTAACCTTGGGTGTTACAACTTAAAGCAACACCAGGGGTCAAAACCACCCCTTACTATCACACAGGGATAAACTGCCGCTGCAATTCTGATGCCTTAACCCTTAAAGGCAACCTCTTTGCCACACACATTTAATCTTTCTTATAAAAATTACATCTGAAAAATTACAACAGTAAGACTCTATGTTTTATTAAAATAGATGTAATAATGAAGAAGTTAAAGAGCTTTTCACTTAGGTCCAGTCTAAGGCTGAAGATGAATCCACTCTTGACAGTCTGGTGCCCCAATACAGAAACTAAAAGATGGAAATAGTGCAGTGTTGGGTGGCAAGGTGAGACATTGAAAAGGGACTCTGGCACTCATGGTGCATGGCATATATATCTCATTGCAAACTCTATCATATGCTATTAGATCTAGCAATCAAATTACAACCATCCATCCAAAAAATAAACATGGCCAAACAGAAATATTAATATTCAATCTCATGGCTTTAGAAACTACCATAACTAGAACTGCCAAGGTCATGGCGTGAATACCCCTGCATACCACTTTGTCAGAATCAACAGTGGACATTTCTAGCTCAAGGACAACCACCCTGACAAATCTGAGGTTACTAAGCCAATGCATTGCTTAGATATTTATTCTCCATGCTTCAAATGTGAAAATTTTAAAAATCAAGTTTTTTTTGTCAAGGCCCCTGTGACCTTGACCTTTGACCCAGTGACCTCAAAATCAATAGGGGTCATTTAGTAATCATGACTAACCTCCATGCCAAATATGAAGACTGTTGGTTGAAGGATCTCAACTTATTGGGCAGACAAGCTTTTTTTTAGTCAAAGCCCCTGTGACCTTAAACTTTGACCCAGTGACCTCAAAATCAATAGAGGTCATCTACTAATTATGACTAACCTCCATGCCAAATAAGAAGACTGTGGGTCAAAGGAATCTCAAGTTATTGGGCGGACAAGGTTTTTTTAGTCAAGGCCCCTGTGACCTTGACCTTTGATCCAGTGACCTCAAAATCAATAGGGGTCATCCACTAATCATGAATAATCTCCATGCCACATATGAAGACTGTGGGCCAAAGGAATCTCAAGTTATTGGGCGGACAAGTTTTTTTTAGTCAAGGCCCATGTGACCTTGACCTTTGATCCAGTGACCTCAAAATCAATAAGGGTCATCTGCTAATCATGACTAACGTCCATGCCAAATATGAAGACTGTGGGCCAAAGGAATCTCAAGTTATTGGGCGGACAAGGTTTTTTTAGTCAAGGCCCTTGTGACCTTGACCTTTCATCCAGTGACCTCAAAATCAATAGGGGTAATCTGCTAATCATGACTAACATCCATGCCAAATATGAAGACTGTGGGTCAAAGGAATCTCAAGTTATTGGGCAGACAAGCTTTTTAAAGTCAAGGCCCCTATGACCTTGACCCAGTAACCCCAAAATCAATAGGGGTCATCTACTATCATGATTAACCTCCATGCAAAATATGAAGACTGTGGGTCAAAGGAATCTCAAGTTATTGGGCAGACAAAGTTTTTTTAGCCAAGGCCCCTGTGACCTTGACCTTTGACCCAGTGACCTCAAAATCAATAGGGGTCATCAACTTATCATGACTAACCTCCATGCCAAATATGAAGACTGTGGGCCAAAGGAATCTCAAGTTATTGGGCGGACAAGCTTTTTAAAGTCAAGGCCCCTGTGACTTGACCTTTGACCAAGTGACCTCAAAATCAATAGGGGTCATCTACTAATCATGACTAACCTCCATGCCAAATATGAAGACTGTGGGTCAAAGGAATCTCAAGTAATTGGGCAGACAAGGTTTTTTTAGCCAAGGCCCCTGTGACCTTGACCTTTCATCCAGTGACCTCAAAATCAATAGGGGTAATCTGCTAATCATGACTAACATCCATGCCAAATATGAAGACTGTGGGTCAAAGGAATCTCAAGTTATTGGGCAGACAAGCTTTTTAAAGTCAAGGCCCCTGTGACCCTGACCCAGTAACCCCAAAATCAATAGGGGTCATCTACTATCATGACTAACCTCCATGCAAAATATGAAGACTGTGGGTCAAAAGGAATCTCAAGTTATTGGGCAGACAAGGTTTTTTTAGCCAAGGCCCCTGTGACCTTGACCTTTGACCCAGTGACCTCAAAATCAATAGGGGTCATCAACTTATCATGACTAACCTCCATGCCAAATATGAAGACTGTGGGCCAAAGGAATCTCAAGTTTTTGGGCGGACAAGCTTTTTAAAGTCAAGGCCCCTGTGACTTGACCTTTGACCAAGTGACCCCAAAATCAATAGGGGTCATCTACTAATCATGACTAACCTCCATTGCCAAATATGAAGACTGTGGGTCAAAGGAATCTCAAGTAATTGGGCAGACAAGGTTTTTTTAGCCAAGGCCCCTGTGACCTTGACCTTTGACCAGTGACCTCAAAATCAATAGGGGTCATCAACTTATCATGACTAACATCCATGCCAAATATGAAGACTGTGGGCAAAGGAATCTCAA